CAAGTATTATCGTCCTGCAGTAATGAGTGATAAGACCGAAAACAGCACGCCTTTTGTCGTAAATAATGCGTAAGAACACCTGCAGAATAGTTCTGTATAAGTATTCTTACTATAAGAGTGGGCTGTGCTCTATCAGAATCGCTTTTCAGAAGTTATTTCAATTTGAAAGACCAAAGAACAGTAGCAATTATTGGTTTTTAGATCTAATTGGGGAAATATTTGTTGATTTTCTCGTTCAACAGAAACTGTCGACAAAAAGTATTACCATACTTAGAATTCAATTTTCGTCGAACGACCAAATGTTATACATCACTATGTATCTATCATTCGATACCAACTTCTATTCTGATTCTAGGTTTCAAACGATAGCAATGACTTATGATGTAGTACACTATATGTAGAAGAATCTTTTATTTTTCTTAGAAATATTCGTTTCTTCTTCTGTTGTCGTTGGTCATAAATTGTTATCTTTAAATGTAATAAAAGTAAATAAGTAAAAAGAAAGGAGAGAGAGAGACATGAAAACAATTGAAAACGGGGTTGATTATGTCTTTATTATTTTTATAAAGAAATATCATGAAAGGAAGTGTTTATTCCACTTCTACTTCGTTTATACCAATTCGAGACCTGTATATGTCGAGACCTGTACTTTATTCTCATATGAATGAGATAAGAGCTATTTAAACCTTAAAAAAGCATCGAATTAAATATGTAATTGTGCAATAAACATATATCTAAATAAGCTACTTGAAAAATATTTCTATAATAAACTAATTAAAATCCCGATACTCAAAACAACTAGTAATACTTTTAATTCAAAAAAAGAAAGTAAATATCTGTGTTATATTGATCTGTGTCTAATATATAAGTACAACCGATCTTCACTTGATTTCAAAAATCCGAGAAAACGGCATTTTATTATTTTGAATACAAACCAGTGCTTAAACGTGTTTCTAAACAAGGCAATCATGTTACTTTTGGTATCAGTTTTTGTTATTCAATCGATTAATTGAGTATCAGGAGAGGCCGACAATTGTGCCAGTTTACGTCTTCATCCATTTGCAGTTGTTGGTACCAATCCACACAATCAACAAAATCAGGTAGAACGCTCATCATTTGACTTAGTCGGGAACTATGCGCAAAATCAACAAAAACAGGCAGCAGGCTCATCCTTTGACTTAGTCGGGAACTATGCCCATAATCAACAAGAACAGGCAGCACGCTCATCATTTGACTTAGTCGGGAACTATGCCCATAATCAACAAAAACAGGCAGCACGCTCATCCTTTGGCTTAGTCGGGAACTATGCACATAATGAACAAAAACAAGCAGCACGCTCATCCTTTGGCTTAGTCGGGAACTATGCACATAATGAACAAGAACAGGCCGCACCATCATCCATTGGCTTAGTCGGGAACTATGCACATAATCAACAAGAACACGCAGCACGCACATCATAT